TGCTGAACTTCTGCCTTTGCTGCTGAGCCGGTGCTGCCTGAGTCTCCATCACTGCTCTCTGGGTGGGGGTGGAGAAGGCAGCCCTTGAACCTGAGGGACACAGATGCAGCTATGGATTACAAGGGCTGCTTGGCTGGACTTGGGCGGGAGGGGAGGAACAGGTGCTGGGGAGGAGCGTCTGCTGCCCGGCTGCAAAGGGAGGTTCTGGGACCTCAGATGGCGTTAGCCAAACTTCTTCCTCTTCTCGTGCCTCAGGCCTGGCTGTCACCCTGGCCAGACCAGACATCGGTGTGCTCCAGAGGGCCCCTGGAGAACAGGGGGGACACAAGTCTGGAGGCAAGGAGGCTTGGGTGCCCATCTCCATCCTGCCACAAGGCCCCTGGAACCATGGCTGAGTCACTTAGTCTCTCTGAGATGAGTTGCCTTGTCTGAAAGTAGTCTACCCACCTCACAGGCATGTTGTAAGAATAAGACAGTAGAGATGAAGTTATTTTGAAAAATAATTAAGTCCTTTTAAAAAGTACTGCTCGGGCTTCCCCAGTGGCGTAGTGGTTGAGAGTCCGCCTGACGATGCAGGGGACACGGGTTCGTGCCTGGTCCGGGAAGATCCCACGTGCCGCGGAGCGGCTGGGCCCGTGAGCTATGGCTGCTGAGCCTGTGCGTCTGGAGCCTGTGCTCCGCAACGGGAGAGGCCACAGCAGTGAGAAGCCCGCGTACCGCAAAAAAAAAAAAAAAATACTGCTAATTTGACTGACTTCCCCTCTATGTTAGGCATTTATGGAGCATGATCTAGGGGCCAAGTATTTCAGCTATGCGTGTTTCAGTGAACCTCTGTATCAGTCAGTATAAGCCAAGTGCTGTAACAAACAACCCCTGGATTTCAGGGGCTTATACAGTAAGGTCTGTTTCTCACTCATGTCAGAGTCCAGTGCAGCTCAGGAACTTGGCACATGCCGTTGTCCAGGGGCCAGGCTCCTTTTACCTCATGGCTTTACTGTCTTCTAGGGCCTCATTGTCCTCCTCTGGATCCTCTGTGGGAGGCTTTGGGGCCAAGGCTGGAAGTGGTGAACTCCACTTCCACCCACAGGCCATTAGCTAGAACCCGGCCATGTGAGGCCATCTGACTGTGGGGGAGGGTGGAACGCATAGACTTAGCTGTGTGCCCGAAGTGAAATGCCAGCTGCCAGGAGCACCAAGCATAGTCCCCGCCCTGCCCTTACAGCACCCCATTGTACTAATGGAGAAACTGAGGCATGGAGGCCAAGTAATTTGCCCAGGGCCACACATCCAGTAAGTGATTGGAATGCAGGCTGCCTGGTCCTAACACCTGCTCTTTACACTGTTCTTTAATGTCTTAGATCAGTGTTTTCAGCCCAGGCTGTTCATCAGAATCATGGGGATTTTTTTTCTTTATTTATAAGAATAGTATGAAGAGATCTTGAGTTTTTTAAAAACACAAATAGCTTTAGATTTGCTGTGTGCATGGCTCTAGGAGATGGTGGGGGCTGGCACGCAAAGGCAAGCCCCTGCTCTGAGGAGCTGGGCTATCATTGTACAAGGTGAGGGGACCCGGACCCAGGAGATTCTGATTTGGTGTGGAGAGCGTGGGGTGTTAGGAGTCTGTGTCCAGGGCCTGGGGTCGCACCTGGGATGATGCTGGGACGTGGTGGGATGCACTGCAGAAGGCACTTTCTGAGCAAAGAAAGATCAACCTTTTATCATTTTTTTTACCTCTCTGCTGTTATGCTCTCACATAACTGTCTTTGGCTAACAGTGATTCTACATTTGGTTTTTCTTTCTTTAGTCCCCTCTGTTCCTCAAATATAATTAAGAAAAAAATCTACTGCCTCTAATCTTTCTGGGTCTGGAATAGCAGACAATCAAATATGTTTGAAATGTATCTAAAATCAGAGTGATTAGGCTGTGAATTAGGCTTAAGGGACTGCTGTTAGTAAAATGCATAAACTTTAATACAGATGGTCCTTGACTTATGATGGCTCAACTTACAATTTATAGACTTTATGACGGTCTGAAAACGATATGCATTCAGTAGAAACTGTACTTTGAATTGTGAATTTTGATCTTTTCCTGGCTAGTGTTACGTGGTCTGATACTCTCGTGATGCTGGGGAGGCAGCGAGCCGCATTTACCAGTCAGCCACGAGATCGAGAGGGAAACCACCCATACACTTAGAACCATTGTGCACCCACACGACCAGTCTGTTTTTCACTTTCAGTACAGTATTCAATGAATTACATGAGATATTCAGTACTATATTATAAAGTAGCCTCTGTGTTAGATGACTGCCCAACTGTAGGCTAATGTGTTCCGCGCACATGTAAGGTGGGCCAGGCTAAGCTATGACGTTTGGTACTTTCAGAATGTTAAATAATTTCAACTTCAATGGGTTTATTGGCACATAACCCCACCGTAAGTTGAAGAAGATCTGTATATCAATTTTATAACTCTATTATTGCTACCCAGTAGCATTCTGCAGCTTACTTTATTATTTTTTAAATTTTATTATTATTATTTTTTTGTGGTACGCGGGCCTCTCACTGTTGTGGCCTCTCCCGTTGCGGAGCACAGGCTCCGGACGCGCAGGCTCAGCGGCCATGGCTCACGGACCCAGCCGCTCCGCGGCATGTGGGATCTTCCTGGACCGGGGCACGAACCCGTGTCGCCTGCATCGGCAGGCGGACTCCCAACCACTGCGCCACTAGGGAAGCCCTTTTTAAAAAAAAAAAAAAAAATTAATTAATTAATTAATTTATGGCTTCATTGGGTTTTCGTTGCTGCATGCGGGCTTTTCTCCAGTTGCGGCGAGTGGGTGCTACTCTTTTGTTGCAGTGCGGGGGCTTCTCATGGCGGTGGCTTCTCTTGTTGGGGAGCACGGGCTCTAGGCACACAGGCTTCAGTAGTTATGGCACGCGGGCTCAGTAGTTGTGGCTCGCGGGCTCAGTAGTTGTGGCACACGGGCTTAGTTGCTCCACAGCGTGTGGGATCTTCCGGGACCAGGGCTCAAACCCGTGTCTCCTGCATTGGCCATCAGATTCTTAACCACTGTGCCACCAGGGAAGCCCCATAGTTTTCTTTCTTAGTGGCACATAATAGTATGTCTTAGGATCAACGATGTCTTAGAATCAATGAAATGCAGTATTTTTATCACTTGAAGGAATTGACAAATTGTTCTCCAGCCCAACCCCGTGCTGTGCTGGAAGAGACAACCTCCTCATTCATTTGAAAGCACACAACCTTCTTATAACAATAACAAAAATAGGAATAATAGTATGTACAAGATTTAGCACTTGTAAAGTACCTACTATGTGCTCAGCACTGCTCCAGGCACTTTTCGTATGCCTCTTCAACAATGTTAGAGCACAGCTATTAACCCCATTTTACAGATGAGGAAATTGAGGCTCAGAGGTAGAAGTGGCAAATCCAGGGATCCAGGCAGTCTGTGTAGCTCTGAAAAATTATGCTGTGCTGCCTCTAGTGATTCTGGGAGACAGCTGAAGTATCTTCATTTAAATCAGGGCTTCTTACCTGGCCACACCTTAAAATGAACTAGGGAGCGTTAGGAAAATGCTGGAAGAATTCTTCAAGTAATTTTACAGCACAGCCAGAATTGAGAACCCTTGGTTTAAATAATCTGTGTGAGATCCCCCAGCTCTGCTGTTCTGGGATCTCTGGCCTTCCTACCTACCCGCTGATGCCACCCCGCCCCCAGCCCAGGGTAGCTGCCAGACCTGGGGCAACCAGGACAACCTGAGCCTCTTAAGGCCTTTGGAGCTGGATCTCTTGGTTAGAAAATGTGGCTTTGAGACCTTAAGCTGATATGTGCTTTTAATCTTTGTTTTTTCTTTTCTTTTCCTTTCTCTCTCTCTTTCCCTTCTGCGACTCCTATAATGTGAATGTTTGTACACTTGATGTTGTCCCAGAGGTCTCTTCTTTTCCTTCCCTTCTGCTGTTCTCAGAGACCCTGCCCTGCCCTGGCCCGACCCCACTTCTTTCTTCCCCAGCACCAGGGTCTGAATTTCTGAAGACTAGAGCTCAGGTCAGCTGCCTTTCCCTGGGCCCCCCTGACCTCCTTCCCCATGGGCTCCTTCCACAAAACCCTTATTGTGGGCCTGTTGTGTGCGTGGCATGGGGGACAGAGGGCCTGCAAGGTAGACATGGTCGGCTCTGTGCTGCATTCAGCTTTGAGCACTAGTTAGGAGGAGAAGCTCTGTTTATGGTCCATGTTTGGTTTTCTCTTGCCCCGAGTGGTGGGAAGGATTGACTGGCCACAAGGCAAGGTGGGATACAGCCATTGGCCACCTAAGTCTTCCTGGGGGAGCTGTCTTCCCCTCCCCCTCCCATGTCCCATCTCCCTCCCCAGCTGTCACCCTGTGCTCTGTTCCCGGCTCTTGCCAGGCTATTCTACACCCGGACACCAACGAGAAGATCTTCATGCCCTTTAGAATGTCAGGTAAGCCCTTGGGAACCTCTGGTTCTGCCTAGCCTGGGCCGATTACAATGGTCACAGCTCCAGGAGTGTCCAGATGCTCTTGGCCTGAGGGACATACAGAGCCTGTTACACATACAACCACACTGGCACCTGCATGGTCACTTTGGCTCAACTGTACAGGACTGGCCAGCCTATGGAGCTTTTAAAATGTGCCTATCTGCCTTTTCTGCCTGAGCAGTTGGGGTAGAGTTGAGGCCTCCACAGGTGAATCTGGTGCCCCCAATGCCAGGTTACACCCCACTCACTCAGCAGCAGCCTAGGGCAAGCCTGCCTTCCATGAGCCACTCCTCTCTTACCTGTGCACACTGAGTGCCTTCCTTCCAAGCCCTGCTCCCTACTCAGCCTTTTCATGCAGTTAACCCCCAGACTAACTGCCTTGTCTCTGATCCTACATTTAGCCTGCCCTTCTGAATGTATGCACTACATTTGTACCACTACACACACAGGGAGGCGGATTCCTGTTCTGTGGAGACCAGTGGGTAGAGAGGGTAATGGAAGAATGGGTATAAGATCCCTGCCCTGGGCTTCCCTGGTGGCGCAGTGCTTGAGAGTCCGCCTGCCGATGCAGGAGACGCGGGTTCGTGCCCCGTTTCGGGAAGATCCCACATGCCGCGGAGCGGCTGGGCCCGTGAGCCATGGCCACTGAGCCTGCGCGTCCGGAGCCTGTGCTCCGCAAATGGGAGAGGCCACGACAGTGAGAGGCCCGCATAACGCAAGAAAAAAAGAAAAAAAAAAAAAAAAGATCCCTGCCCTCAGGAAGTCCCTGCCCTGTGGTCACTAGAGGGACAGCTCTGTTATGTAGAGCTTAATGGCCTAGAAAGCACTTGCCCTTACACTGGCTGGGGCTGGCGTGGTTGTCCTGCCTACGGTTCTGAGAGGCTAAGGGCCTTGTCCAGAGTCACACAGCGAAGGTCAGACTCACACCAGCGTGCGTATGCCTCCTCCATACCGTTTCTCAGTGCGACGGAGTGTACCCCCCACCCCTGAGTCACAGGGCGGGTGGGAGGGTTGGTGGCTGCTGCCTTGGGAAGCCCTCAGGCAGCTGGAGGAAGGGTCCCTACCAGTGGGTGTTCTCAGTCCAGGAGGTTAGTCAGGGTCCCCACCCTCAGAGAGCCTGAACTCATGGGGCTGAGAGAACAGACAAGCACGTGATGTCATTGTGCAAACGGGCAGTTAGTGCCCGGTGACCCTTGCTTTGCTGTGAGGAACTTCAAGGCGGTGAAGGCTCTTGTAGCTGCGGCTGTAGGTCCTCCCCAGTGCCTGCGTGGGGCCCTAGCAGGCTGTCCCCCTGAGACTGGCTTATTCTGCGATTCTCTGATCAGTCTTTGGGCCTCTCCCTGGAAGGGTGCAGGTAGGAGAGTGGCAGCTCATGTGTACAAATATATGCACATGCAGGACACCAACCTTTGCTCTAGACGTAACCCGTGCAAGTGTGGTTCCCTGCTGCTGGGCTACCAGCTGACTGGCTGCTGTAAGTTAGTGGCTGGGACAGGAGAATGCCCACCTACAGCAGTGAGGCTGGGGGAGGGGGCCTTGCCATAGTCTGGGGGCCCTGAGCTGTGGGGAGATGGCCAGGGCCCAGCTGCACTTCATGCCAGCCCTTTCCTGCTCTGCTGAGATGTCCAGCCAGGGCCTTAGAGATTCAAAGAGCTCTGGCACTTAGAGGCACACATCTCAGGTGGGTAGGGAATGCCCTTTCCAGAAATGGTCATGAAGCTGGGAAAGTAAGGGTGTGTTTTAGAAAGACAGGCTGAGGGAAGGAGGAGGACGTCCCAGGGCCTCCAGAGACATTGTGGTGAGGTTGGCGGGGCTTCGTGGCTCCCGGAGGAAATCGTGGAAAGACCACCAAGTGCAGAGTGGCGGCGCCCTAGCCACGGGCGCCTCCTTCAGGAATGGGCCCCTGGCTTTGGGGGCGAGTGAGGACTGAGGGGAACAGAGACAAGGAGGTTGGGGGACACAGGGGAGCCCTCTGTCTTGGGGAGGGCTGGGCTGGGAAAATGTCTGGGGCTAGAGGTGCCTCCCGCTTAACTGACCTGAGCCCTCTCCCTGGGGCCACTGTCAAGGCCAAGGCCAGAAGTCTCTCTGGCCTCCCAGTTGAAAGGCAGGTGGGGCAGAGTCAGGTGGGATTATAAAACCCGACTCTTCTCTCTGTCTTCTCACAGGTTACATTCCTTTCGGGACGCCAATTGTAAGTATTACCTTCAAAGGGTTTTCTTTTCTAAAAAAATTTTTTAATGTATAACTTTACATCGCTGTTCATAAATATTTGAGTTGTTGATTTAGGATGAATTCCTGGAGGGGACTCACTGGAGAAAATATCATATATTTCTTTTTAATTCTCTTGATGTGTATTGTCAGACCTCTTTCCATAGAATGTGTGTCAATGTACACCCAACAGGGCCTCAAGGTGCCTGAGTCCCTGTATATTTCCCATTCCAAGTATTGTCGTTAATTAGGACATGCTGGTTTGATTACAGGGAAGTTTTCCCAGAAAGCTTGGGAAGTTGGAAAGTAAGGGTGCCTTCTGAAAACTGGAAAATTCAGCATTATTTTTGTTCTGTTTTGAAATCAGGATTAAGCTTACTGTTAATCTTTTTATATTGGAGTAAAACAAATGTGTAGAAAGGGTGCATTTGTCATAAATGTACAGCTTGATAAGTTTTCACAAAGTGAGCTCATCTAAGTAAATATCACTTAGATAAAGATATAGTGCATTACCAGCATCTCAGATACCTCTTATGTACCCCTCTCAGTCACTAACCTCACAGGGAACCACTTTTCTGACTCCTTCCTTCATTATATTCTCATTTTGCCTGTTATTGAACTTTATATAAATGGAATCACTTATATAAATGTAATTTTGGGGGACTTGGCTTCTTTCACCCAATTGTTTATGAGACTTACTGTTATATGTAGTATTAGCTTGTTCTTTTTCATGGCTGTGTAATATTCCACTGCTGTAACTATATAGAAATTTCTTTATTCATCCTACTGTTGGTAGACATTTGGATTGTTGCCAGTTTGGAGTTTACAACAACATGCTTTGAACATGATTGTACAAGTCTTTTAGAGGATATATATAGAGATACACACACGCGTGCGCGCGCACACACACACACACACACACCTACACACATCCTCATTTCTCTTGCATTGTACTGAGGAGGCTAAAGAGATAACAACTAAATGTGGGATGTGATCCTAGAATTGGGATTGGGATCAGGGCAGGTGTATGTGGAAAATGGTATTGCAGTTTCTTATAAACATACACCTTCAATGTGAGCCAGCAATCCTACATTTAGGTATTTACTTCAAGAGAAGTGAATACATATGTCCACACAAAGATCTATATATAAATGTTTATAGTAACTTTTTTTCATCTTAGCCTAAAGCAGGAAACAGACAAGAATGACCAACAGATGTTAAAACCACTAAGTGAAAAACTGATTGGGAACAGGATATTTACCTAGTCTGAAAGTTTCCTATATATTTCATAAATATCATTCATTCTATGTTTATTAATTGGCAGCCTCCTGTAAATAAGGGTCTTCCCTTCTGCCTCCCATTTTCTTGTTTTTTAAAACTATCAGTATGGTCTTGTATATATTTTGTATTCAGTGGATAGTAATTTACTTTTTCATTATTCATTTTTATATACAAATTGTGCCAAATTTGACCAATAGAAACCTTTTAAAGCAATTTCAGTGTCCATTTGACATGTCTTTTTTATGCTATGAGTATGTACTTCAGTACTTTCTGGCACAAAGTATGGATATTCCAAACTCATCTTGTAGTTTCTCTGCCCCATTTCTCCAAAGAGCCCTGGTTCCTTTTAGAGGGGAATGGTATTTAGGAACCAAAATCTGCATAGTTAGGTGTGCTCATTGTTACTGGTGTGTCATTGTTTCTAGACCCTCTTAGCAGACAGAGCAAGGACATACAACTTTTTAAAAATCATGACTACATACTAATACCTCTAATTCCAATCCAACATCTCAGAGTTCTTCCCCTCCTTCCAGTCCATATCTACATCTTCCTTCTCCCTGAATGAGAATACAATAACAATGTATTTATTCAGTTACTAAATCTTATAAATACAAATAAGAGAGTTTCAGAATTGCTACATTAATGCCACTCAAACATGTATTAATCCCCCCGCCCCCCGCCAAATGTATTAAGTAAAGCTTGAGATTTCTTTGAAGTTCTTTTTGTCTGTTGAATAGATCCTACTGAGAGTATATAGTCAGAGGATTGCGTTCGAAAGTTATTTGAATTAAAAAAAAAGTTATTTGAATTAATTATTTTCTTCTGTGTGTATATGTTATTTATTTGATATACAGTTAGGTTTATTCATTTCTGTTGCCACTGAATTTCAGATGTTTCCCCATTCTTATTGATTTATATCAACATTTATATTGATTTATATCAACATAGTTCAAAAGTCAAAAGCTATATAAAAAAGGCATAATAAAAGTCCCATTTCCCTCTCTACCCCTTCTACCTCCTTCCCACCCATCCTCTCTAAGTAAATAATTTTATCCTTCCTATTTCTTTTTGTAAAAATAAGCAAATACAAATACATTTCCCTTTCTTTTTTCTATAAAAGTTACCATATTATATAACCCTTTTGCGCAATGTTTTTTTTTGCTTAATGACACATCCTGGAAATCACAGTGTATCAGTTTATAGCGATCTTCCTCATTCTTTTTTTTTTTTTAAATAGCTGCGTAGTAGTATACTACATAGGAGTACCATAATTTATTCAACTATTTTCCTACATATGGACATTTAGACTATTTCCATTATTTTGCCAGTATGAATAATGCAAGAATAGATAGTCTTGTGCATGTGTTTTGATATGGTTGGAGATCTATCTTGAGGGTAACTTCCTAGCTTCTATGTAAGGACTAATTAAATAGACATTTCTGGCAATACTGGGCAAGAAAAAAGAGAGAAGATACAAATAAAAAATACTAGGACTAAACAGTATAATAATTACAGATATAATAGAAGTTTAAAAGATCAAAATGCATTGAACAATCTGGGGCAGGAAATTTGAAGACTTAGGAAAATATGGATACATTTCTGAGAAAGTACAGGTTACCAAAAACTGCCTAGCAAGAGGAAATATAGAATTTGAAAAGACCTGTAAATAGAAAGAAATTAGATCAGTTGCTTAAAATATATGCACCAAAGAAGTAACAAACAAATCAGAAATTACCACTAGGCTCCCATGATCTTTCAGGTGACTACACTCAAAGGAATAGCCAAACTCAATCTTTACAAAACTCTTTAAAGAGAATAAAAAAGAGGAAATATTCCACAATTCATTTATGAGGCACTTTGAGACCAATACCAAAGAAGTTAGTATGAGAAAGAAAAATTATAGGCCAATATCACTTACGAAATTACACATAGTCTAAATGAAATAATAGCAAGTTGAATCCAGCACTGTATTAAAATATATCAAAAAGGATTTACCAAGGGGCTTCCCTGGTGGCGCAGTGGTTGAGAGTCCGCCTGCCGATGCAGGGGATGTGGGTTCGTGCCCTGGTCTGGGAAGATCCCACATGCCACGGAGCGGCTGGGCCCGTGAGCTATGGCCGCTGAGCCTGTGCGTCCGGAGCCTGTGCTCCGCAACGGGAGAGGCCACAACAGTGAGAGGCCTGCGTACTGCAAAAAAAAAAAAAGATTTACCAAGAATGGTAATAGAGAATGTATTAATATAGTTCATCACATTAACAGATTGAAGGAGAAACATGATGATCTCAGTAGATACAGAAAAATCATTTGATAAAACATAACTCCATTTATAATTTTTTTAAAAAGAGAAGGTTAGTTAGGTCTAAAAGGAGCTTCATTAACTTAATACAGTATCTGTCAGAAAAAAAAACAAAAAACCCAACCCCATAGCAAGAACCATTCTTAAAGATGAATCAGATAAAGGTAAAATCTTAATGTCTGGGACATGGTAAGAATGCCTGATAGTAATGCTTCTATCCAGCATTTTCCTAGGAGACTAACAAGTACAATAAGACATGAAAAAATAAATGACCAGTATTAGGATTGGAAAGGAAGAAACAAAATTTTTCATGAGAATAGGCAAACTATTGGAACTACTATTTTATAAGATTTCTGGATGTAAGACAAGTATACAAAATAATTGCTGTATGCCTATAAACCTATAACAAACATCTAGAACATGATATATTTTTTTAATTAATTAATTAATTTATTTTTGGCTGTGTTGGGTCTTCGTTTATGTGCGAGGGCTTTCTCCAGTTTCAGCAAGTGGGGGCCACTCTTCATCGCGGTGCGCGGGCCTCTCACTGTCGCGGCCTCTCTTGTTGCGGAGCACAAGCTCCAGATGCGCAGGCTCAGTAGCTGTGGCTCACGGGCCTAGCTGCTCCGCGGTATGTGGGATCTTCCCAGACCAGGGCTCGAACCCGTGTCCCCTGCATTGGCAGGCGGACTCTCAACCACTGCGCCACCAGGGAAGCCCTAGAACATGATATTTTTTTAAAAAAGAAAGCATTTATAATAGCACTTAGAATGACAAGTTACCAAAAATAAATTCAAGAAAGGATGTGCAAGATCTTTATGGAAAAACTTATAAAACTTTATTGAAGGACGTTGGAGATCTAAATAAATGGAGAAATATATCACCTTGGGTGGGAATATTCGTTATCATGAAGATACCTATTTTCTTCAAATTATATTTAATTATATTCAATAAAATTCCAATCAAAATCTCAGCAGGATTTTTCATGGAACTTGACAAGTTGATACTAAAAATTAGATGAACAAGCTAAGGGCCAAGAACAGCCAAGACAATTTTCAAGAATGAGGTGGTGGGACTTCCCTGGTGGCACAGTGATTAAGAATCCGCCTGCCAGTGCAGGGGAAGTGGGTTCGATCCCTGCTCCGGGAAGATCCCACATGCCACGGAGCAGCTAAGCCCATGTGCCACAACTACTGAGCCTGCGCTCTGAAGCCCACGCCCCACAACTACTGAGCCTACGCGCCTCCAGCCTGTGCTCCGCAATAAGAGAAGCCACCACAATGAGAAGCCCGCGCACTGCAACGGAAACCCAACTCAGCCAAAAAAAAAAAGAAAAGAATGAGGTGGTAAGAGGAGAGTCACCCTACTAAGTAGTATAAGACAGTTTGGTTTTGGTTTGGAGATAA